AAAAACCCAAAACATTAAAAAAAAACCCCAAAACTTTAAAAAAAAACCCCAAAACATTAAAAAAAAAACCCAGCCATCGTTTAATGCTGGTGCACAACAATGATCAGAACCAGGACACAACACTCCTGTGAAGATGAAATGGAATTTTCCCCTGGCAAATGAAACAATGCAAGGCCTCATCGAGGGGTATCTCCTGCTTTATCCAAAATATTGGGATCTGGAGGATTGGAGTTCCAAGCTCCCCTTATCGGCTCCTGCTGCTGAGAAATGTGGAGCACGTGGGAGTTGCTCTGGGAGATGTTTCCAAAAGCTCACCAGGACTGTAAAACAGCCACGATGACACTTAAAAACAATCCCCTACTACAAATCCAAGCACAGCTTCCCTAAGAAAACCTGGAAAAACAGCTGGCACAACCTCCTGGACCCACTGGAGAGCAAGGATGTAATTTTACAGGGAATGTCTGTTTGTCTGAAATCCCGTGCTCAGTTTTGGGGTTTTTTAAATTGTTAGGATAAAGAAAAGGCCTCTAGAATTTGTTTTATCAGCATTTAGTGCTCTAAGCCACTTCAGAGGTGGGAAACTGGGAAGCATTATCCTGCCAGACTCCTCAGTATTCCAAAATCTCTGCTCTGAGTCTATGGAATGAGATGGGGAACTAATTAAAATCACGCATATTTTTATTATTTGAAGCAGGGTTGGGATGTCAGGCTCCAACTCTGCTCCAAGCAGCCCAAACCAAATCCTCATTTCCCAGTTTGGTGCAAATTCCATGATTAAACAGGTGCACTTGGCTTTCAGATCTGCTCGAGGAGCTCCCAAATCCTCCCCAATCCAACTGACAAGGCAACAAAAGCAGAGTAAATTCCAGCTCCAGCCAATTTTTGGGGAAAAAAAAACATCCAGCCACCAGAAAAGACACCGAATTCTGCTCTAAAAACAGCAGGATGATACCCTTGGAAGTTGTCATTTAGGCAACAAAGATTATTTATTTTCCTCCAGTTGGTTTGGGCAGAGATTTATGGATTTGAGTTCTCCTAAAGACGGGCACCACCTCCCAAGCCACATTTACCTGATGTGATTTATAAACCACCACCTGTGACAGCATTTCTGGGAAAAGGGGGGGCTCTCCCAGCTCTGGGAAGGGGCTGCTGCCACGTCTTTGTGCATTTTGAAGCCTCACCACACGATTTCCCCTCATCCCTGGAGACCTCATTAAAACGTAGCCCCAGAAGTGGAGCAGAAAGAAGCGTAGCGTGACATTTCAAAATTTACATTCAAAGTTTCCAGAAATATCCATCCTTTAAAACAAAACATGACACCAAAAAAATAAAAAAAAATTAAAAAAACAAATTAAAAAAACCCCACAAAACCAAACAAAACCCCAAGAAAACAACAAAGCCCCACCAAACCCTACGAAAACAAGACATTCCAGTGCACACGCTCTTCCCTGGGGACAGGCCAAAGAGAACAAAGCCACGTGACCCTGCAATTGCTCAACGCCACTCTTGGAAGGTGTTCAAGTGGGATGATAAGTGCAGGGGGTAAGCCTATAATGACCAGAAAAAGGAATTTATCCCAAATGTAAACTCTGTCCTACCCTTTGCCTCGACGGAGCAAACACCGGCGGGGAGAGTGAGGGGGGGAGTTTTGAGATTACAAAATGCTCTGCAGGTAAAACTAAGGAGCTTTGTACTTTTATTCTCCTTGACTTAGGACGAGCCTAAAATTAGCAGGGAGTGCAATGCTCTGTGAATTACGCTCCTGACTCGCCTCCCAAACCCCCGGCTCTGCAAACTGGGCAGCACTGGGGGAGATTTAAACAAAGCTAGCCACTATTTATAATTCCTTTCAGGCACAAAACAGGGTGACACTTCCCTTTTCCAGCTCTGACGCTTAAAAATAGAGCTCGGGGACTACAACCCAGCCAGCAGCATTTCTCCACAAAAGGAGGAAAATAAATCAGCACTAAATAAACTCGCGGCCAAGGGGAAGCTGCGAGCGCAGCGGCCACGGAACAATAAACCCCGGGGTTGGAACGGGAAACGGCCCCGTGGTTTGGGGGAGGGATGGGGGTGCTGGGGTGGGTCCCCCATGGGTATAAACACCCTGCCAGGGGCACCCCATCAGCTGCAGCCTCGCTCCGCCCCGGGCCCGGTTTCCGGGTAGTAACAGAGCAGCCAATCCGTGGAGTTGCGAGAGCTGGAGGCCTTTTCCCTGCAAACACAGCTCCAAGGTTGGCACTCGCCCCAAAACTGGGGGGAACTATAAAAGGGAGCCCCCATTCTGCCCTCCCCGGGGTGGGTGATACCTGGAGAGGCCTGGCCTGGAGCTTGGGGGCTTCCCAGTGGGATAACGCTGCGCTTCGCAAGTGGCCAACGGGTCTGGAGGTGTTTTTGGGGAGCATTCCTGCAAAAATCCTGCTCTGAAGTGTCACAGGTTACCCAGGAAACTTTGGCTGGAGCCCCCCAAAAAGGGGATGAGGGATTATGGCTCTCTTTTCCCAGCCTCAGCACCACAAACCCGGTCCGGAGGGAGACAATGAGTGACGGGGAGCTGGAGCACATCCTCGTCCAGGAGATTATTAAACATCAGTTCCACGCATTCCCGCAGAGCTCTGCCCTTCTCCTGCAGCCCCACGGAGAGCAGGCACCTCTCCCCTTCCCTCCTCACAAAGAGGCATCCACAAAAGGACACGGACGTGTTAGGATTGAAAATAGGGATCATAAAAAGACCTCGCTCGGCTCCTAAACCTGTCAGAGCAGGAGAAGGAAGGAGTGTTATTCACCCTGCTCGGTGCCCCCTCCCTACTGGGAAAGGTAACCCTTGGCAGGCCATAAATCCATACTATTATTCTCCACTGGAGACGTGGAAAGGGGATGAAAAGGGAAACTGCAATGAAAATGGGCAGCAAAAAGAGGGGGAAAAAAAAAAACCAAACAAAAACCCTACACAGCAACAAAACCCTGAACACCCCCAGGAGGAGCTGCCTTCAAGCACATTCCTTCAGACGAGTCCCTTCTCCTCTGGCCACCACCGAGACCCTCCTGGTTGCCGTGTCTCAAAGGAGACCCTGATTTCAGATCAGCTTCCAGAGGGGGAGATTCCCCCCAGGGAAGCGTCTCGGGAGCCGGGGCCTAGCGAGCTGCTCACCCCGGGCGAGTCAGGCAGACAAACAAAAAAAGGCTGGGGAAGGAGGGAGGGAGCGAGGGAGGAGTGCTGAGGAGTCATCTGACACATCCAACTTCCTAAGTTTGTTGTCCGCAGGACACCGACTGCTCTAACCCTCACCCTTTGGAAAACAAGGAAAGCGGAGCCGACAACAAGGGTTTCTCCTTTGGAAAAACCGCCGGGGTTCCTTTTGTCAGGGGGCAGAAAGAGCAGAGCAAAAACTCCCCAGGCACCGAGAGGAATCCCAGATATTCGGGGCTTTCTACCTACCCAGCTCCTAGAAACACACAGCAAAGCCACTTCGCAGGGAAAACCTGCTCTTTGTCCTCCAAAAAATGCTGCGATCGCTGGAGAAGCCGGCAAGGAACCGAACAAAAAGGGGGAGAAAAAAAAAAAAAAAAAAAAAAAAAAAAAGAGGGGGGGGGGGGAAGGAAAGAAAAAAAAGGAAGGAAAAAACCACCTCCAAACCAATGACAAATTGAGCTTACTTTA